AAAGAGAAAAAAAAAGAAAAACAGAGAGAGAGAAGCGGGCAGGCATTTACGAGTTCGCAGGCTTTGGTCGGGCGGAAGAGGCTAGGCGTGGGCGATGTCGTAGCAAATACCTTTACAAGAATGTTTGCTTTTGTTTTTGTAGGTCGTAGGAGGTGCATCCGTGATGCTAGATAGAACCATGTCACGCCAGTTTGCACAACGCACACCCGCGCCACTATGGTCGGGTTGGCAAGGGTGAGCAGAATTCGGACTAGAGAGTGTATGTTAGTGTAAGCACATATTATTGTGTCGTGTGGTGGATGGTCAAGTAGTTGTCGACCTTGGCGGTTGATGAGCCAATCCGTGAGCCCTCGCAATGACACACAAACCCGATGACTTCAGTTGGTTAGGCTTATTACATGCATGGGGCACGCGCACATTAGCATTTGGGTCGGTCACTGCCACACCGGGCTGCTGTAACGTTGTCGGACGGCGTGGTGCCCCATCCCTAAGCGGTGTACTAGACACACTTTACTCGTAGCGTACTCCTGAATCGATCTCAGTCGGTGCCTCTACTGGCGAAAGGAGGTGGTGCGCCACTGGACTTTTCATTGGTCCACGTGGACGTAGTGCCTTGTTGTACAGCAGAGCACAATCGGTTTGTGCTCGTGGTAGCTGTCGGGCTCGGCCCAGGGACGCATAGGTAGTAACCTTGACACTACTTGTATTGCGTGCCAAACACCTCCTAGTCGAGTTCCTGCTTGCTGCAACCGCTTTGCTCTCACCTGCACCAACCCCCTTGCTCCAGCTCCCCACCTTCCTCTCGCCACCCGGACCTCGTTTTTCTCCATCGTCTTCGACTCTCTTTCTTTTCTCTATCTATTTATCTCTCTCTCGACGAAGAGAGTCTCTCCCAGTCTCTCGACGAGATAGATAGATGGATAGATAGATAGATAGATAGATAGATAGATAGATAGATAGATAGATAGATAGAGAGAGAGAGAGAGAAAGAGAAAGAGCGAGCGAGCGAGCGAGAGAGAGAGAGAGAGAGAGAGAGAGAGAGAGAGAGAGAGAGAGA